GGTGACGACCTGGACCTGTGGACAGTACGATGTTCTGGGCAACACTGGGAGCGTGAGGCCAGCGTCCGCTTCCAGCACGTGGGCACCTCTGTGTTCCTGTCGGTCACTGGTGAGCAGTATGGTAACCCCATTCGTGGGCAGCATGAGGTGCACGGCATGTCTAGCGCCAATGCTCACAACACATGGAAGGCCATGGAAGGCATCTTCATCAAGCCTGGAGCAGATCTCTCTACAGGTCATGATGAACTCTGAGAGCTGGATGGGTGAAGGGAGGGAGGGTGGCTGGGTAGGGATTCTGTAGGGCCACTCTTGTGTGAGACTTTGTTTGTAGGGCCCCCAAGTGCCTTTATGATTAAAGAATGTTGGTTTGTGATTATATTTGCTGTAACCCCAGGGAAGATCTGGAGGTACCAGCCACATCTGTCCAAGTTACCATCTCCCCTGTCTAGGTACCTGTTTAAACTTTTTTTTTTTTGAGACTGTCTCACTATGTATCCCTTGCTGGCGTTAAATTCTCAGAGATCCGCCTTTCTCTGCCTCCTGAGTGCTGGGATTAAAGGCGCGCGCCACCACAACTGGCCCCAAACTGTTTTATAAAATCACTTCTATTACCTGTGTGAGTGCGTGTGCTGTGTGTGTGTTGGCACCTGCAGCTCAGTGCGTGTGTGGAGGTCAGAGACCAACTCTGTCTAGGGGATTCTCATCTTCTACCTTCACGTTGGTTCTGGAGATCGAACTCAGGCTGCCAGGATTGTGTAGCACGCACTTTAGCTGCTGAGCTATCCCAGGGGCCCCAAACCTTTTTTTTTTTTAATGCCTGTCCATGCATTATAATGCTGTCCTGAACAATCATCTCACCTGTCTACCCTACAGTTAACTCATAGCAGTGGATCTCCGTCCCCAGGACTTGAACTTAGGCCACTTTCCTATTGAGTGGCCATGGCCCCAGGGCCCCTGCCAACTGGGATGGGGCTCAGGCTGTCCAGGCCACTCTTCATGTGGTTGTGGCAATCCTGAGGTTTATCTTTGGCCAGGCGGTGGTGGTGCACACCTTTAATCTCAGCACTCAGAGGCAGAGGCAGAAGGCTTTCAGTGAGTTCAAGGTCAGCCTGATCTATAAATTGAGTTCCAGGACAGCCAGGGCTCTATGGAGAAACACCGTCTCAAAAACAAAACAACAAGAAGATTTGTCTTTGATCAAAGGACTGTTGAGAGTTCTGCCTGTCTGCTGGAGAGCGATACCTCAGGCCCCCACACTCTTAGGGCACTCTCCTTTCCCCAGGGTCCTGAGAAGAAAGAACTAAGACTGGAGAGGTGGCTCAGTGGTTAGGAGCACAGTCTGCCCTTTCAGAGGACTGGCACCCATGTCATGTCAGGCGACTCACCATCTGTAACGCCAGTTCCAAGGGGATTTCTCACACCTCTCACCTCTGTGGGCACTTGCACACATGTACACAAACTTAAACAGACACATGTAATTTAAAAAAGAGTGAGAAGAATACCTCAAAAGACATTTCAAGGGAAGACACCCACCCCACCCCCCCAAAAAAAAAAACAACAACCATAAAGAATCTGAGGAGGTACAGCCTCAGAGGTGCAGTCAGGGTACTACAATTTAAAGGATAGAGTTAGTTGAGTTGTGAACAGGTACTTGTTGGGACCAGTGGAACAGTTGGTACTTGGTGTGCATGAGGCTATGGGCAGAGCACTTGCTTGCTAGCATATAAAGGCATGGGGCCATTTCCAGCACCAAAGTAGATAAAGCCATGCACACAATGCAGCGGGCAGTGTAAGTAGTGACAGCCCAGGAAACAGAAGGGCCCAGGGTTGGCAAGCTAGCAGCTCTCTAGTGGTGTGTGTGTGCCCTCTAGAAGCAGTGCAGGAAATGACAGGGAACTGCTGGGGATGGAAAGTGTTGATCATGAGAGCCAGAAAAAGTCCCCAGAGGCTGGGATTACAGTTGTCTAGAAGGGACAATTACTCCCCTGCCTTTGTGACACCCTCGTCTTACCCCTGACAAACTTTTGTTATGAGACAGGGTCTCTCCTTGTGACTCTGCCTGGTCTGAAACTCACTAAACCAGGCTGGCCTAGAATTCATAGAGATCCATCTGCCTCTGCCTCCCAAGTGCTGGAATTAAAGGTGTGCGCCACCATGCAGCCAAACTTTTAAATGTTATCTTTTAATTGTGTGTGTGTGTGTGTGTGTGTGTGTGTGTGTGTGTGTGTGTGTGTGTGTGCATATGACTGTGGTGTCCTCAGAGGTTAGAAGAGGGTGTTGGATTTCTTGGAGCTGAGCCCTCTAGTATGGGTACTAGGGACCTCATTCAGGTTCAATTTTAGCAGCTGAACCATCTCTCCAGACCCAAATCTCTTGAGATCTGAGAGGATTTAGAAGGAAAGAGATGACTGGGAAAGGATTCCAGTAAATGCTGGGCAGAGCTGTGGGACTGAGCAAGGGGGAGAGAGGTGCATTGTGGGCCCTAGTCCACCCTAGTACTCAGTCTCACTAAAGTTATACCACGTGAGAGGGAAGGAAGCCAGGATATGCACCCACCAAAGCATCTTCTCTCATTGGCTGAGGCTGCTGGCTGGGTGGGAGCAATTGCTCAGCAGCACTTCTTACTTTGTGTATTGGATAGGGCTCCACCCGCCAGAAGACCCCAGACAGAGTCACAGGTGGGCTATTTTTTCTGAGATGAGCCAAGATTGGGGTAGGGCACTCCAGCATTGCTACACCCTGCCCACGCAATGGGGTGCTCTTCCTGTCCACCTAGGCAGGCAGTGGGCATTGGAGTGCTGATGAGGGAGAACTCGGGTGCACAGCAGGTAGGAGTCCTGGGTAACCAATACGCTTTGGTTGCTTCCATGCAGAGTGTAGAACATGACCAAATGTAAAAACAGCAGTAGCAGCCACAAACTTTACAATTTATTTTCATTTTATTTCATTTTTATGTGTGTGGGTATATTCTGTGTACACAATGCCTTCAGAGACCAGAAAAGGGCGTCAGAACCCTGGGACTGGAGGTACAGAGGGTTGTGAGATGGCTTGTGGATGTTGGGAATGGAACTTCGGTCCTCTGGGAGAGCGTCAGCCCTCTTGGCCACTGAACTGTCTCTCCCTCATGACCTGTCCCAGTCAGTATTTCATGTGGCTCAGGCTGGTCTTGAACTTCTGATTCTCTTTTCTCTACTCTCCAAATGCTGGGATTTCTGGGTGTTTTGTTTTGCATCAGTGTGGAGAGGCACAGTATGGTGGCCCATGACTACAAAGACCCAGGAGGATCGACGTAAGCACAAGGCTAGCCTAGTCTACTCAGTGAGTTCCCAGCTAGCGGTACAGGATGGATCTTGTCTCTAAAACCAACAGCATTTCCCCCCCAGCTCCCCCAAGAAGATAAGACGATGTAGCGACTTAAGAGATTATGGCTCAGCAGTTAGGAACATTGACTGCTCTTCCAGAGGACCTGGGTTCCATTTCCAGCATTCATGTGGTGGCTCACAACCATCTATAATTCCAGTTTCAGAGGATTGAACACCTTCTTTGGCCTCCCTGGACACTAGGCATTCATGTAGTGCACAGACATGCAGGCAAAATACCCACACACATATTTATTTATTTATTTATTTATTTATTTATTTATTTATTTATTTATTTATTTATTTATTTATTTATTTATATGTATACAGTGTTCTGTCTGCATGTATGCCTGCTGGCCAGAAGAGGGTGCCAGATCTCATTACAGATGGCTGTGAGCCACCATATGGTTGCTGGGAATTGAACTCAGGACCTTTGGAAGAGCAACCAGTGCCCTTAACCAGTGAGCCATCTCTCCAGCCCCACACACATAAATTTAAAATAAACTGGACAACATAATGTTCCTGAAGATTGAAAACCAGCTCTGTATGTTTCAAAAACATTTTCTCACAGCCATGAAATGGGTAAAACAGGAGAAGGCACAGACACCAGTTGCAAAAGCATTGTTTTACCCTTCCCCAACATACACCTAAGTAGAGCTCTTCAGCTTATGTGTGCTAGGTGATGTGTATCTTTGCCACTTATCAGCCCAGAAAGGTCACTCAATGAACTCTCATCCAAAGTGGTTTCCAATCTCAGCAATATCAGCGCATTTGCTTCTCTTACATATGCCAAGGCCTCCCCAGCCAGCTGGAGGTGTCCTGGTGGCGACACTCTGAAAAGTTGAACAGAAAGAGGGAAAGCCTCCGTCTTGGAGTGACTGTCCCTTCTGGAAGCCTGAGGGCCTATTCAACTGCTGGCTCGGCCAGTGGCTCAGACACTTCCCGGGGATCTCAGCACCCTCCTTAATTTGGTGAGCTGTGTGGCGAGCATGGGCGCGCCCTCACGAGTATCACTACAATACAGAGAAGTAAGCTGGGAAAAGGCGGGCAGAGCTCCTTTTCATAAGTTATGAATGAGAAAGTGTTGTAGAACTCATTGTTAAAACGGCGGAGCCAGAACTCGGGCGCCTGGCCAATCGGAACCCGGAGGCTATTTTGAAATCTTTCCAGCAGCAGCCAATAGGTGTGCAGGAGGCGAAGCTTGGTGTTGGCGCAAGCCAATGAGGCTGGCGCTGTGCCTTGCTTGAGGCCTGGGGCTCGGCCCTTGGGACTGTCAGAGGTTAAAGATGGAGCCCACCAGCGAGAGGTCGCCACGAGGTGCGGGGTTGTCCGAGTAGACAGGGCCGGCGACAACCAGGATCTCCTCCCACTAATCTTCTGTCTCCACCGTGGGAACAAGGGTGTCTGTCCATGTGAGTAGCTGGTCTGAGGTGGGGGGTGTGGTGAGGCTGGGGGTCCTCCCAAGGCAGGGACTCCAGATGGCATGAAGCCCTCATTCTCCTCCTCCCAGCAGAAGAATCTGTTAGGACAGAATGCAGAACTCATACTGGAGGAACGGACCAACGACCAGGTCCTCACCTGCTGGGGGTAAATCATCCCTCTTACTCGAGAAGGAGCTCCAGGCTGAAACGGTACAAGGTAGCGCCAGCACAGGCCCCTCTCCTTTGTGTTTGAGCCCCCTCGGGTGCTTGCCCTTAAGCTCTCTCCGGGGAGTGTCTCTTTCACCGGATTCAGAATCAAGTTTGGGTGCCCTAAAGTTCCTAAGACCCTGAGGACTGCATCCGAGCTAGAGTCCCTTCTGTGCTCCAAATCTTGGACAGAGGTCCCACCCACCTACGGTGGTTGAACTTCCAGCCTTGTGCACAGTGCGGGTGATGGACTGCCTGCTGGCTGCGGGCGCTCTGACTAGGTTGCACTACTGTGCTCTGAGAAGCAGTGCAATGATATTGTCAAAGCATCTGGGGCCAGCCTTGCAGACCGCCTCTTCACCTACAGCGCCTTCTTTCCTCTCTTCCCAGGCCTCAGGCCTGCCGCCCTCCCTCCCCCTGCTCATTTTACTCTGTTCTCCATGGAAACTGGAAATTCTAGCCAGGCCTGTGTCTCTGGGGTCAGAGGGCACCCTTGGCCCAGGCAGAGGCCCCGCCCCCACGCAGAGAGACCAACAGGCTCGCTGGACACCCTTTCCCTGTTGCACTACTGTGGGTCCCTGGGGAGCAGTGCAATGAGAAAGGGCACCCGTCAGGCCTGCCCACGTCCACACCACTCACTTCGCAGCTCAGGAACCTGGGGCGCCCCAGGGTGAGACAGAGCTGGGTGAGACCCCCCATCGGAGAGGATAAGGTGGATACTGGGAATCGTATTCCAAGGCTGGAGCCAGTACAAAGATGAGACCCCAGACTTGGGAAGGCTCTAGTCTCAATCTCTTGGCCCTCCAGGTTGAGACTGGGAGTCCGTGCTAGGTGTGGTGGCTCATGCCTGGAAGCTGAGGCAGGAAGACTGCCTCCGATGTGAGGTTAGCCTTGTCTATGGTGTAATGCTGTCTCAAGAACCAAACCAAAACAAAACTGGAGTCTCCAGGACCTTGTGGAGAGAAACAGATGTTCAACTCTCTGTATGGAAAAGGTTTATGTGCCTTGCTCAGCCTTAACTACACCAGGAAGACCAGGACTCAGCCTCCCCCAATGCCTGAAGATAACCAAGGTGACGAGAGACTATTCTGAGTGGCGTTTGGGAGGAGGCATGAGAAGGCCCTCAAACCAGAGGCATTACCTTGGGTCTTGGGGCCCAGCAGGAATGTACTACCTGAGATGATGGATGGACTTGGAGTAGGAAGCCTGCAGAGGAGGCCTGCCAACCATGCCTGTTCCTGCTGGCTCTTTTACAAGAGGGTATGTCCTGAACAGGGGACACTGAGGGTCTGGCATGTCTGCTTTAAGGAAGCCTTTCTGGGGGTGTCCTTGCAGGCTCGCCTTTACCAACGAGACCCAGGGAGAAGCTGGTTGTGGAGGCCCATGCCTTTGAACCCAGCACTGGGAAGGCATGGGTAGATGGATCTTTGTGAATTTGAGGACAAGACTGTCTACATAGCAAGTTTCAGGACAGCCAGAGTTACATGGTGAGACTCTGTTTCAGTGCCCTCCCCCCTGAGAAAAAGACCTAGTGAGAGTTGGTCAGGCCTGTCTCCTTGAGAGGAGGCCCAGGCTGCCAGGCTGGCTTTTAGGAGTGCCTTCACCCCTGGCTTGAGAAGGTCAGCCACTGCTCTAGCTGTCCAAGTCCTATCACCCATAGGGGCACTGCTCTGGCACTGCAGATGTGGGTCTCAGGTGTGACGGAGGGCTTTGATGGTGAAGCAGCAGCTGGCATCCACTCGCCTTCGTGGCTAGAGTAGATGAGGGCCAGCAGCTCTTGGTGCAGCCGATCCCTCCTGAGATGCCCAGGAATTCTTACTTGTTCATATCTTGGTGTGGGCCTGGACTCAAGGGAGGGCTGGGCCTTGGAGGACAAGAGGCGGGTGAAGACAACTTTCAGAAATGTAGCAGAGGGGCAAGAAGGAAAAGACAGGGGGACATCAAGACAGAGTGAAGGAGTGGTCACAGGTCCGAGCACGTGTCATACACCTTTAATCCCACCATTCTGGAGGCAGAGACTAGCAGACGTCCAGATCAGCCTGGACTACAGTGGTTTCCTGGATAGCCAGAACTACACAGTGAGACCTTGTCTCAAAAATCAACAAAAAAAGGAGTGGTCGTGAAGGGGAGATCAGGACATGATCTGGAGAGATGTGTGTAATGCTGCAGAGCAGGACAGAAAACTGAGGGTGCAAAAGCCAAAGCTAAAGCGCTTTGGGGGCAGAAGGAAGTCCTTTTGGATATTGGTTCGGTGAACTGGAAGCCAGATTCAATTACCAGGGCAGACTGGTAAGGCAGGGTTGGGAGGGAATGAAAAACTGGGAGAAGGCTGGGTGCTTTGGAGAGGACCACCGCTCAGAAGGAGATCAAAATCCCCAGGGTACCTGGGTACTTCAGTGGTCCGGAGAGTTGGGGAGGAGGAGCACACCAGCGCGCATGCTCGGAGAGGTGGGCATTGTCGCGTGTACTGGCGCTGGCCCCGCCCCCTGACTCCTTAAGCACTCCCTGGGGGTAGACCTGGAGGGGGCCGGGTTGTCTGGAGAACTGGAGTCTGCCTCGCGGCTGTAGGGAAAGAGTGGGTGCGTCCTGTAGTCCCCGCCCCAATGGGCTCCTGTCACCTTTCGGGACCTCAGTTCTAGGCCTCGGGGGGCGGGGGTCTCCTTGCCCTAGGAGCCCTGCCCCGACTGCCGCTCCGCCCCCAGGCAGCATCTGCTCACCACCAGCAGTCCCTCTCGATGGAAGTCCTGGACGAGTACGACAACGAATTCCCCCAGAATGTGACCTTCTGCCAGCTCATCTCTGAGGACGACTTCGAGAGGCAAGCAGCGACCTACACCGAGCGCGCGCTGCGCCGTCTCTTCCGTTCCTTGGACCGCAACCCGGCGCTGGCGGAGAGGGTCGTGCGCAAGGGCAAGCAGACTGAGATCGAGCAGCGCGGGCTCCTCTCCTGCCTCTGGGTGCGGGCTGCGGGAGGCCCCCATCTCCACCTGCTGTTTCTTAGGGGGGAGCATTGAGGGTGGGGCTTTGACTGAGGGATGGATGGGGAGGTCCCCTAGCGGGGTGTGTGTGGGGGGGTTGGGGCAGCCAGAAGGGTCTTTCCGAAGCCAAGGATGCCAAGCCTGGGGACAGAGCAGGCAAGCGACTCTCTTGCTTCCCTCCTTTCTACAATCGTTAATGCAGGCAAAGTTTGTCTGCGCTGTCCAGGGAGAACTGAACCAGTGCAACAGCATGGGTGCTCTGGAGATGCATCAGCGCCTGGAGCAGCTGAAGAGGCGCATCAACCGTGTACACCTGTATTCCCAGGGTGAGGCTCAAGTGATGAAGCTGTGAGCCTTGGGAATCTGAGCCCAGGGCAACTGCTTCCCCTCCCGTTTCAATTCCCATCAACATCTCAGTGTATGTCAAGCTCAGGTTGTTGACATCTTAGGTGCAAGTGCGGTGCCCATCCAACTCCAGGTTGGACTTACCCCTCTCGGATCATGTTTAATGAAGAGCAGGAAGGAGGGCACATCTCCTAGCAAGATGAGCTAATTTAGAGGCTGACTACTGAGTGACTACTGAGGGGGTCGGGGTGGGGTGCAGACGCCTTTAATCCTGGCCTTAGGATGTGTCTTAATTAAAACAATTTATCTGTTTATTTGAGACAGGGTCTCATTCTGGAGTCCTGCTGGCCTCAAAAATCGCAGAGATGTGCCTGCCCCTGCCTTCAAAAAGTGATGGGATTAAAAGTGTGCGCCACCACACTTGGCTCTAAAACAAAATATTATTATTGTTGTATGTGTATGGTGTATACACGAGTATGTGTGTAAGGCACACATGTGAAAGTCAGGATAACTTACAGGGGTCAGTTCTTCCACTGTGGGATCTGGAGATTCAATTCAGGTTGTCAGGCTTGCATAGCAAGTGCTCGTACCCAGTGAGCCATCTTGCTGGCCCCTTCCTCCTCCTCCTCCTCCTCCTCCTCCTCCTCCTCCTCCTCCTCTTCTCCTCCTCCTCCTCCCCTCTCCCCTCTCCCTCCTTATCCTTTTTTTTTTTTGACAGGGTCTCACTATATACCTCTAGCCAGCCTGGAACTAACTCATTGTGTAGACCAGACTGGCCTTCAATTAACAGAGATCCCCCTGGCTGGGACTAAAGACGTGCACCAGCACACCTGGCTCTCTGCCCTCTTTCTCCACCTTTATATTTTGACACAAGGTCTCTCACTGAATCTGAAGCTCATTGATTTGGTAGGCTGGCTGGCCAGTGAGCTTCAGGCATCTGTCTGCATCCATCCCCAGATGGATCACCGGTGTGTGCTGCCCTGCCCTACGTTTTCTGTAGGCAATGGGGACCTAAACTCAGATCTTTCTTTTTTTCTTTTTCATCTTTTTTGAGACAAGACTTCATGTGTAACAGCCCTGGCTGTCTTGGAACTCACTCTGTAGACCAGGCTGGTCTCGAACTCAGAGATCTGCTTGTCTCTGCCTCTGGAGTGCTGGGATTAAAGGTATGTGCCACCACCGCCTGGCTTTGAATTCAGCTCTTTATGCTTATAATATAGGAACTTTATCAACAGAGTTGGTTCCTTAGCCCCTCCCCTTTTATTTTTCTATTAACATTTATTTTAAAATTTTTAAGCACTTGTGTGTGTGTGTGTGTGTGTGTGTGTGTGTGTGTGTGTGTGTGCGTGCATGCATGTATTCCATGTACTTGTACCGATACATGTGGAAGCCAGAAGAGGGCATTGGATTCCCTACAGCTGGAGTTACAGGTTGTTGTGAGCCACCTGACATGGGTGCTGGGATCTGAATACAGGTCTTCAGCAAGAGCAATAAGTGAGTGCTCTTATCCACTGAGCCATCTCTATAGCCCTTCTATTACATTTATTATATGTGTGTGCCTCTATCTCCTAAATTCTGGGATTACAGGCATATACCACCACATCCAGCTAATGAACTCTTCTGATGGGCTGTATGAGGTATGTGTTAATATTCAGATGTACTCTCCAGACCCATTCACTGCCGTCCATAAGACCTAAAAGTGGAGCAGGGCCTGGCTCAGGGTCCTGCCAGGTGTCACTGTCCACCTTTGCAAGACCTCACTATGGGTTTTCTTTTATAAGCAGTGCCCTTTTCCACCCCACATGCCTCTGAGGCTTGGCTGTAGGCTGAGGGCTTACCATCTGGGGCCTGGATATCCTTACTGGTGGTGGCAGACTCCGTCTTCCACAATCCTTGCCTGGGGGGCACAGATTAGCCTACAGGGCCTGGTTCACTCCATCACTCCCTTCAAAATTGTACCCTTAAAGTTAGACATCTTGGCATGGATTCTGCCTGCCCTTGTGCACATAGGGGATATGGCTCTGCCTGTAAGAGGCAAAAGTAAAGCTGTAGAATGCTCTCCTAGCACACGTGAAGTCCTGAGTTTAATCCCCAGCACCATGTAAACTGTGTACATATAATCCTAGCAACCTGGAGGTTGGAGGCAGGAAGATCACAAATTTAAGGTGATTCTCAGCTGCTGTGACTGGCCAGCCTAGGATATGTAAGACCCTGTTGAAGGAGGGAAGGAAGGGGAGAGAAGAGGGGAGAGGTAGAGAGAGCGAGAGCGAGAAATTGATTTTGGATTCTTTCTCCAAGGTGTTGGGTAGTTGGTGAGATAATGCCTGCTGGCACCTGTCAGTGGTGGCCCAGGATTTTCTAAAAGGCCTGAAAAGGTTTTCCTTTGCTGGAGAGACATCATGGAACCCCTGTGTTGCTGTGTTTGGGTCCTACTGCCCAAGGTGTGGGTACTCACTGCACCATTTGATGAAGGTGCCAAGAGGAGAAGGAGGAAGCTGAGACGAAAGAAAGATCCGGTCCTCTTTCGAGACCAGGCAACCTCCCCGTGCCTGCTGCCAGCTCCATTACCACCACCGCTGCCACCAACGCCTGTCACCACCATGGCCTCTGTAGTGGCCACATCACCCTCTGTTTACACTATGCCCAGAGTCTTCGGCCCCTTTCCTACACTGTCTGGCAAGCAGGTCAGTGGGAACATGCTCTACTCTAGTGCTGGGGGTGAATCTTCTCTTCTCCCGTCCTGGCCAAGCAGTGGTTCTCAGATCTCTGCTGACGGGCTCCTCTCAGACAGGCTTTGGGTATGAACTAGCAGCAGGTGGGACAGACAAGAGGGCCTGGCTGCCCTGGCCGAGGTCTGCAGCGGAGGTGAATAGCACAAAGTTCAACCTCGTGTCCACTTGGGATGTCCCCAAGAATAGGAGGAAAACCATAGACTTTCTCACATCTTATCCCCATTCCTGCCTTTCTCTGGGGGTGTTATCCCTCCTCTGCTCCCCCTCCCCCACCCAGCCCTCCCCTTCCCTGTAGCCCTTGCCTTGGGGATAGGGCTTCCTCAGTTCCCAGACACCCCTGAAATAAACTCTTGCTTCCTATGTAGGGATTGCTTTTCTGCGTGGAAAAGTACAGTTTCCACTCTCTCCTGAGATTTTCTTTGTTTCTTGTAGATGGAGAAACTGGGTATTTCAAGATCTGAAGTGAAATTAAACTGGAATGGTCTTTCATCAACTTCAAAGAGGTGGACAGGATTTTACTCATCTTGAAGGAAACAAAAAGCATTTGGGGAACATCTTGAGTGCCAGACTTGATGGTTATTTTGTCTCAGCCTCTTAATTCTCACAGTTTTGGGTGGTGATTGGATTGTGATGGTACCCTTGGACCCGTGTTATAGATAAGCGTGCTGATGCTGTGGATGGTCCCATCGCCAGCATCCGCTTCTCCCTATCTCACAGCCACATGGTCGATCTGACCCCCTTGGTCCTCAACCCTGGAGGCTTCCATTTCTCATATTTGGCAGGAAACAGCGCACACAAGCTGCATTGCCCTGGCTTCCCCTGGTGAGTGTCTGTACCTTTCCCATCTGGACCCCTGGGCTCTGTTCCAGTGCTGGGGTCCCTGTCTCTCTCACAGGCACTGTGACCTGGATGCTAGGTTCTGTTCTGGTGCCGTGATAGTGTGCTCAAGGGCAGAAGTTCATGACACTCCTTCCACTTCCAGAACCTCACATGTAATCAGTGTTTGCAGTGGTAGAAGACACCAATGATTGGCCCAACCCAGGCTCAGCTGAAAGGAAGCAGCTAAGGGGTTGCCTTGGAATCGTATTGTCCTGTAGGGTTCACAAAATTTGGATTGTTAAAAATCACCTATAGAGCCGGGCGGTGGTGGCGCACGCCTTTAATCCCAGCACTCGGGAGGCAGAGCCAGGCGGATCTCTGTGAGTTCGAGGCCAGCCTGGGCTACCAAGTGAGTCCCAGGAAAGGCGCAAAGCTACACAGAGAAACCCTGTCTCAAAAAATCAAAAAAAAAAAAAAAAAAAAAAAAATCACCTATAGAGCCAGAGATGTAGCTTGTAATCACAGCACTTGGGAGGTGGAGGCAGAAGGATCAGAAAGTCAAGGTCATCTCTGCTTATATAGTCAGTGTAAGGCCAGCCTTGGCTACATGAGACCCTGTCTTAAGGAGAGAAAAGTCTCTGTGTTCTGCCTATTCGTCCTTTCCTTTCCTAAACTCCTGACAACCAGTGGTGTGTGTGTGTGTGTGTGTGTGTGTGTGTGTGTGTGTGTGTGTGTGTACATGCATGCACTATATTTATGTATTGATGTTGGTCTGTGCACATGTGTATGGAGGCCAGAATGTTTAAGGTCTTCATCACTCTCCACCTTTTGTTGCTATTATTGATACAGGGCTTCTCAATGAATCTGTAACTTAATAATTTGACTGGGCTGGCTAATCAGTGAGCTCCAGGCATCCACCTGTCACTGTCCCCTAGCTCTAGTACTATAGGAGAGCACTGTAGTGCCTGGCTTTTTATGTGGGTGCTGGGAATATGAAGTCAGGTCTTCTTGCCTCTGTGGCAGGCACTGGGTCGTCTGTCTAGCCTTAAATCACCCATTTTTTCACTGTCTTCATAGTTTTGCCTTTTTTTTTTTTTTTTTTTTTTTTTTTGGCAGGGTTTCTCTGTATAACAGTCCTGGCTGTCCTGGAACTCACTCTGTAGACTGGCCTCAAACTCAGAGATCCACCTGCCTCTGCTTCCCAAGTGCTGGGATTAAAGGTGTGTGCCACCACCACCCAGCATCACAATTTTGCCCTTTTGAGGCTGCTATATCTAGTTATCATTTGTGTGTGTGTATCTGTGTGAATGTATGCATACTTGTGCATGCACACAGAAGCCAGAAAAGGATGTAGAGTGTCTTTCTCTGTCACTCCCTGCCTGTTCCGTTGAGGCAGGGTCTCTCCTCCAATCTGGGGCTCCTGTTTTCTTAGCTAAGTGGAAAGGTAGCAAGTCCCAGCAGTCTTGACTCCCCTCCCAGGCAACCTTGGGGCTCGGGGTTCCACTGAGTCCATGTTTTTAGTTTTGTAAGTCTGGCAAACTGTCTATCAAAGTAAAGGAACCACTTTCTTTACATCCCCAGAAGTAATAAATGAGTTCAGATGATTTTTCCTGTATTTTTGCATATTTATTTTGTATGTGGGGAGGCATATTGTGTGTGGAGGTCAGAGGTCAATTTTCAAGGAAGCAGTTTTCTCCTTTTACCTGGAGATTGAACTCAGGTCATCAGGCTTGATCTCCTGAGCCATCTTGTGTCTCCTCCTGCCCACGTCTTTTTTATATGTTGTCCAGGCAGTTCTGGAACTCCTGGACTCAAGTGATCTTTCAGCTTCAATACTCTGGGTATTTTGGAGTACTGGTGTGCACCACTGCACCGTTCAGGTGATTTACACAAGGGAATCACAGATTCTCACAGAGTTCTCCAGAGTGACTTACAAACAAGCAAACCTTTATGTCTTAGGCTTCTTTATAGCTGAGAGATGTACACCCTGAGATTGAGTGCTCTGGAGCCATCAAAAGTCCAAAATAAATTGAGAATTGTACTGTCAAGGTTTTTCTTCTCCTTCTTCTTCTTCTTTTTAAATGTTTTATTTATTTTTATTTTATGTACATTGGCTTGCCTGTATGAGGGTGGTGGATCCCTTGGAACTGGAGTTACAGGTAGTTGTGAGCTACCATGTGGGTGCTGGCAAGGTCTGGAAGAGCAGCCAGTGCTCCCAACCACTGAGCCACCTCTTCAGCCCCATTGAGAGAATGTATTTTATTTATTTATTTATTTATTTATTTATTTATTTTTTAAAGTGTTTTTTTGTTTTTCGAAACAGGGTTTCTCCATGTAATTTTGGAGCCTGTCCTAGATCTCGCTCTGTAGACCAGGCTGGCCTCGAACTCACAGAGATCTGCTTGACTCTGCCTCCTGAGTGCTGGGATTAAAAAAGGTGCACACCACCGCTGCCTGGCTACTTTTGGTTTTTTGAGATAGGGTTTCTCTGTGTAGCTTTGGCTAGCCTGGAACTCACAAGAGATCTGCCTGCCTCTGCCTTCCAAGTGCTGGTATTAAAGGAAGTTCCTCTTTTTTTTTTTCTGAGCTGAGGATCGAACCCAGGGCCTTGAACTAAATCCCCAACCCGGAAGTACCTCTTTTTAACTATGGAAGCATTACCAAATTCTTTGTGTGAGCATGGCTGTGTGTGTTGTTGCTGTTGAGAATGGAATCCAGGACTGTGCATATGGGCCAGTTCTCCACCATTGAGCTGCACTTCAGCCCGAGTCTCGTTTTTAACTCTTTCCTAGCACATGACCCACACATTTAGTGTCCGATTCAGGGCTGGTATATTAGTTACTTTTCTATTGCCGTGATAAAACACCATGACTAAGGCAACTTATAAAAGGAAAGGTTTACTTGGGGCTTCTGGTTCCAGAGGGACAGGAATCCATCACCATCACGGCAGGGAGAAGGGCAGCAGGAAGGCCAGCATGGCATGAGGGCAGCAGTGGGGAGCTCAGATCCTCATCTACAAACAGGAAGCAGAGAATACACTGAGGGCGGTTGAAGGCTTTTGGAACCCCAAATCCACCCATGTGACACACCTTTAGTCCTTCCCAAACAGTTCTAACAACTGGGGGTCAAGAATTCAAACACATAAATCTCTAGGCTCATTCACGCCACCACAATTGGCTCTATGGGTAAAGGTATTTGCGGCCGAGCCTGGATAACCTGAGTTTGATCCCTCAGAAAGATCATGGTGGAAGGAGAGAACTGATTCCTGCAAGCGTCCTCTGAGCGCCACATGCATGTTGTGGTACACTTTAACACACTTAATATTTTAGAGGCTCTGAGAATGGTCAGTGTTAACATGTAGTCACTGGCCGGTTTCTCTGTGTAGCCCTGGCTGTCCTGGAACTCTGTAGACCAGGCTGGCCTCAAACTCACAGAGATCCACCCACCTCTGTGCACTGGAGTTAAAGGTGTACACCACCACTGTCTGGCCTAGATTTTTTACAACTATATGTATGTGTATCTCTGTGTGGTTATGTGCTTGTGTGTGCGGGTACCTGAAGAAGCCAGAGGCATCAGATTCCTCTTGAGCTGGGTTGAAATGTGAGTCACCTGACTCAGGTGCCAGGAACAGAACTCAGGTCCACTGTGAGAACAGGCAGTACATGCTCTTAACTGATGAGTAATTTCTCCAGACCTTCTTGGTTTTTCTAACAACTTTTTAGATGGTGGAGTCAAGTCTCTTATCAAATGCAATTTGCAAATATCTTCTCCTTTCTACTTTCCTTTTTTGTTTTTTGTTTTTGTTTTTGAGTCAGGGTTTCACTTTGTAGCGCTAGCTGTCCTGGAACACACTCTGTAGCCAGGCTGGCCTCAAACTCACAAAGATCCACCTGTCTCTGCCTCATGAGTGCTGGGATTAAAGACTATCTTTTCAAGATAGGTCATGAACTATAAAAAGTTCTCAGATTCAGTGAATGGGTGTTTGAGCTTGGTTGACACCTTGGAAACTGCCTCCAAAGCAAAGGTCCTTTGAATACAGGGCTTGTGTATGCTAGGTAAGTGACCTACTGCAGAGCCACACCCTAGAACCTTCTTGGCTTCTGAGTCAGGATCTCAGCAAGTTCATCAGTCTGACCTTGAACTTGTGACCTTCCTGTCCCAGCGCTGCTAGATATGGGATTATATACTCCCAGAGAGGGTCCTAGTGAGCCTTACCTTTTTTGTTAGGCTAATTGAGAAAAGACACTTTGTAAAACTTTATGGTAGTATCAGTTAAAAGAGGGAATGTGGGGGGCTGGAGAGATGGCTCAGAGGTTAAGAGCACTGACTGTTCTTCCAGAGGTCCTGAGTTCAATTCCCAGCAACCACATGGCTCACAACCATCTGTAATGAGATCTGGTGCCCTCTTCTGGCCTGCAGTCATACATGCTGTATACATAATAAATAAATAAATCTTAAAAAAAAAATCATTTAAAAAAAAAAAAGACATCCCGTGTCTTTAAAAAAAAAAAAAGGAGGGAATGTGGCTGAGCTAAGTGGCACACACTTTTAATCCTGGCTCTGGGGCATCAGTGACAGGAAGCCAGCCTGGTCTACATAGTTTCAAGTCAGCCAGGGCAACACAGTGAGACCCTGTCTTAAAACCAAACCAAAATAGTAACCAAAATCCAAACCAAAACAAAAAAGCACTACTATCACCAACAACAGAAGAAGCACAAAGAGAAAATATGAATCCAGGCATGACAACACTTGTCTTTAATTCCATCACTCATGAGGCTAAGACAGAAATATTGCTAGAAGTTTGTCATCAGCCTGCTCAAGAAAAAAAAGTTCTAGAAATTCAGACCAACCAAGGCTATGAGGGCTATTATATTGAGACCCTGTCTCAAAAAAAGAAAAAAAAATCTAGAAAGAAAAATATGTATTCGTGTTATGGAATATTGTATGGCTATTCAAATTATGCAGAAATGGTCGTATGGCTTTTCTGGAAAGATGTGTGGGCAAATGTCTATTCCTCTTAGATGATGTGCTGATGACAGATCAAAGACATGATTCCACCCACATCTAGCTGGGTGAACTGGCGTTTACTGTGGTCCTTTTAGGAGTGAGTGAGGGCAACTCGGGGTTGCATCACTAAAAAGCTAGCCCTCATGTGCTGAGGACTCAGGAAAGCGGAGCCTGAGTTCCTTTCCCAATTTGAGTGTGTGTCCTGTGTCCTGTCCTCCCCCCCCCCTCCCCGCAACATTTTATTGCTTATATACCCTCACAACTCCCCCCCCCCCCAGGGTTTCTCTGTGTAGTTTTGGTGCCTGTCCTGGATCTCGCTCTGTAGACCAGGCTGGTCTCAAACTCACAGTGATCACCTGCCTCTGCCTCTCAAGTGGTGGGATTAAAGGCGTACACCACTGTCACCTGGCTCCTTACAACTTTTTTAAATTAGTTTTTGAAGTTTTCTTGAGTTTTATGAGTTTCTCCCTCCAGGAGGAAATGTTTCAATCTAGAGGAAATTGCTACTACAAACATGTATTCACTAAATAATACCCAAGTGGCCTGTTAGGAAGCTATGGATCTGATCAAAGGGGGTTGAAAGGTTGGACAGGCAGGTGGCTGATTACATGTACATTCCTGTAACCAAAAGCCAGTCTGGACCACATAGTTTGAGGCCACCCAGTCTCCCAAAAGCAAAACAAAACAGCTAGTGGGACATTTTCACTTATTTATTTATTTATTTTTAAATTTATTTATTTATCGGTTTTTTGAGACAGGGTCTTTCTGTGTAGCCCTAGCTGTCCTGGATCTCGCTCTGTAGACCAGGCTGGCCTCGAACTCACAGAGATCCGCCTGGCTCTGCCTCCCAAGCGCCCGGCCATTTTCACTCCTTTGACTGGCGGCAGGACAGCCCACTGGTAATTTGCACTGTGTCCTCTAGGTGTCCTTTATAGGTGTCCCTTATAGGTGTCCCTTACAGGTGTCACTTATAGGTGTCACTTATAGGCAGTTAGATCTGTTGCAGCTTCTACAATCACAGAGTGCTATAACACAACACTGAACAGACTCCATGGGAGAGGTTTCTAGAAGAAATCTTGGGAGACAACCTGTAGCCTGTGACTTTATTACACGTACGTCTGGCAGCCCTGTGTGCTAGTGTCCATTTCATGGGTATGTGTTGACCCTCTATCATGCAGGACAGCAGCCTGTAGTGAACCCTCCAACACTGATGAGACTCCATCTCCTGTTGTGAAAGCGTCCATCTTCACTCCACCTGTTCTACTCAAGTTCCAGCCTGTACCCAGACCTAAAGACGATCCAGAGAATGACCCTGGCAGTGCAGAGTCCATCCTTACCAAGAAGAGCGAGTAACCTCTTCCCTACAGACCACGCCCCAGGAATGAATAAATTTCCACAGAGGCGCATTGTAGGCGAATTTCCTTGTGTCTCGGCAGCCATTCCCAAATAACCTTTCAGAGGCTTATTATTAATTATAAATCCTTGGTTGATAGCTCAGGCTGGTTACTAGCTAACTCTTACATTTTAAATTAACCCATATTTCTTATCTACCCTCTGCCAAATGGTGGTACCTTTATTTCTTTTTCTTTCTTTTTTAAAGATTTATTATTATTATTATTATTATTATTATTTTTTTTTTTTTTTGGTTTTTCGAGACAAGGTTTCTCTGTGTAGCTTTGCGCCTTTCCTGGAACTCACTTGGTAGCCCAGGCTGGCCTCGAACTCACAGAGATCCACCTGCCTCTGCCTCCTGAGTGCTGGGATTAAAGGCGTGCGCCACCTCCGCCTGGCCGATTTATTATTTATTATGTATACAATGTTCTGCCTGCAGGCCAGAAGAGGGCGCCAGATCTCATTATAAATGGTTGTGAGCCACCATGTGGTTGCTGGGAATTGGACTCAGGACCTCTGAAAGAACAGCCAGTGCTCTTAACTGTTGAGTCATCTCTCCAGCCCCCACCTTCTTCATTTCAACACAGCACATTCATCTTGATTATCTCTGTGCCTCTCACGACTCCCGAGACTCCACCCTTCTTCCACG